AGCAATGACTAAAATGCTGTTCAGAAAGATTATCAAAACTTTCAAACCTCTGATAAAGCTACACATCCAGTTCTACCTTTCACTAGAACTGACTGATGCATAAACCTATTAGTTCTGGTGAAGTACACCATGAAAGTAATCCTCAGTCACATGCCAAGGTGCTGTATCACTGTAAAATTTAAAATGCTGTATTTTGTTTAAGCTGCATGCTGCTGATCTCAGCAAATTAATCATTCTACCACTGTCATTGCAGGTGATGGATATATCCATTATGGGAAATCAAAATTTACAACTAAAATCTTTTTAGGAACTAGTGTTTAACTCATCAGCCTACATAATATCCCCAAAAGATTCGAAAGTAGTTTTGTCAAAATCAGTGTGTTCATCCTGAATGAGAACTGCCCTTGCTACTTTCTTTATCTCCAAACTGCAACCGTCTGCCATCATGTGACATTGTAGTTTCTTGACTTCAGTCTGCAAGCAGAAAAGTGTAGGTCCGTAAAATGATATATAATGCTGGATTACTCTTGAATTTCCTCAGTGACACACTCAAAACATTGTTTTCTTCTACTGCAAGGCACCTCCTACATTCTAAATGGACATGTATGATGTACATCTGATACAAGTTCTGCTGAAAGATAATGAAAAAACTCCTCCCACCCCTGCAAGTGATGGGCGGCTACTTTAACAAAACACGTTCTTCTTTATAACTCTGCCTCCAACCTCTTAAGATGTCATCTTCTGCAGATATTATCTGTTATTTCTACAAGGCCTTTACATAAACCTAGAAACAGTGAAGAATATAAACCATTCAGTCTAGACAGCCTTCTAAGGAGTAACTCAAAATTAATTTGGATAGCAGGTGGTATCTTATGAACTGCAAGAATATGGACATTGAAAATGTTCCAAGAAAGACAAGAACTGCAGTACGACAAAGGGGAACATTAGGCCATGTAAGAGACTAGAATCATGGGAGAGATTTAAGATGGTTTTAGGTAATCTTCACAAACTAAAAATTAGAACTGCACATATCTGTAATGTATCTACTGAAAACTTAAGCTCATTTCTACTTCTCACTGCTAGCCGAATTTCCACAGGACTGAAAAGGAAAAAAACCCTAATCTAGAAACAAATTTTCTGGCTTCTGTTTGATTTTGCTAATAAAAGACTGAAGCCTGAGGGGCTACCTTCTTAATCATAGAAGTTGAAGAAAGTATAATTAAAAAATGTTAAAGTTCTCATTATGTGGATTGCACTAAAAAATTAGTTTACGTGTGTCTGTACATTTGTTGCCAAGAGGTGTGTGTACTACATATTATGGTAGTACAACAAAACCACTGGAGCTAGAAAATACTGCATCCATACTGCTCCGCAGACTTAGTGAATTTCTCCACTTAACTTCAAACCCTAAGCACGCTTTCACAGTGTACATGGAATTAGAATTTCACATTTTTTAAAAATGACACTTTATCACAATGTCATCAGGAAGCTGTAGACATGAGATTTTCCAGTTAGCCACAATTCAATGCTGAATAAAGCCATCTACAAACCTAGCTGTTGACAGACTAAAAACTTGTTAGCTTAAAGGAGGAACAAAATTGCTCTAAATTATCTGGACAAACATCTGAGATATTATGGGGGGTTTCTTCGCAGCAACTTATTAAAAAACCAAGACCTTAAATTAGCTAACAGATGCTGTTGTAAATGCTACTATGTTTTGAAGGTTGCTTTAATTACTAAAGTTAGCCTTAGTGTCACCAGATGGATATGAAGAAAAGATTTGGGTGAGGTCTGTAAAACAAAACATCACTGCCCTCAAAACTAAATGACAACCAGAGGTCAAGCACCTTCACAGAAGTTGCTGCACAGCAACATAGCAAAACCCAATAAAATTGCCCTCCCCATTAAGTAGAACTAACTGTAAGGCATTTAATATTCACTCCCCTTTTTCTGCCTACAATTAACCAACTATTCTTTGACACACAGGCACCTCCCTTGTAAATGTAAACAAAAAAGAAAAAAAGGCACTTGTATATTTGGATCTCTTTGTAACATTAATGCTGAAACATCAGAACTCTTCTTATTATACCACTGACAGTAACACGTGGTAACTCAGTAATTACTTATCTGGAGAGATCATGCTTAAAGAATAAAAAAATAAAATCACTGTAATCAAATTAAGCACAGCAGAAAAAAAAATGAACAATATAATACAAAGAAAATTCACACAGCCCTACAAAAATTTAACATAAAATGTAATTTAAAGGAGCGGGCTTTCAGGAGCTTATGTTTCCAAGAAAGAACAGAGATTTATACCAAGTACGATTGCCTCCAGTGTGCAAAGCTCTAGAAACAAAACATGTTATGATTTTATATTGTTGGCCTGAATGATTCTCCCTTGTTCATTACAATCTAGTTCTATAACGTCTGAAAAAAATCATTCTATTCCTTACTCTGTATTCTAACTAAGAGAATGCATCACCTAGCAACAGAGAAATTAAGTTTGTCTTTTCATTTGTTCCCAAGGCTAGGCTAATAGAATTAATACTCTGATTTGGAAAGCATGATTTTTATATAGTCACAGTATCAAATAAAATTTCTTTATTTTCATATACACTTAAATACACAACAGATATTGAGAAAATTATGCTAGCTGATTTGAATGACTGGGATCAAAGATAACTCTTACAGCTGGGAGGCAAACACATCTGTGTGTAACTCCGCTGCCTTCAGGAATGACAGCCCAGGAATGTACTGACAGTTAAGGAAAACCAATCTGCCCTACCCTCTCAGACAAAAGTTGGACTGAAACAGGCACAATGAAGACATTATCTACAAATACCACGGCTATTGAGACACACTGAAAAAGGAGGCAAGACTTTTCAGAGGAAGTTATGTATTTTTAAAGCATGATCTGAAAAACCTCAGGCCCTTCCACATCTCTAAATAAACATCTCTAAATTCTTAAGTAAATGGAACCAAACTGCTCCCCATAGTAGGGACAATGGAAAGCAAAAAGGAGGAACAGAAACTGAGCCTGGGATAACAAGATCATTTAAAATTATTTCATTACAAACTCACTTAAATATGTCATAGGACAAGAATAAACACATGTACATTTCTGTGTCAGAGTTGCAGGAGACAACTATCTAGGTAAGGATAGCAGAGCACCTAGGGTAGTTGCCGTTCCTCTTGTTTACATTAATTTTGTCAATTTGAATGAGTTAAACTGTTTTAATAGTTACGTTGAAGCTACAGATGTGCCTACTAACAAGAGCATATTAATATTCTTATAGGTATGATGGAAGAGAAATAAACATCCACTAATGAGAAAGAAAGGACTGGTCACCTTTCTCAGTCACAAAGAACCTGTCATTTGGTTGACATTTCACTTGAAAATTGTTTCGCATAAAATGGTCGTATCTGCATTTTTAATGTTATCACTTCTGAAGCAACTACACGGCTAGAGGATATGAATGATTTATACTGTTACTATCTACTCCATTTGAATTTTGAAGATTCTATTTTTTTTAATTCTGTAAGAGAAAACATGCTTAGAAACTGCTTTGAAATAGAAACCCTCAATCTTCTGAATCTGATGAATACATAAAGGAGGCACACTTATATTCTTCCAAGTTGTTACATCTTCTTAAGCCAATAGTTACAGGTAGATTGCCTAAATACAACTTGTTCAAAATTTTGTTAATTCAGACAATGCAGATGCCATCACAACAAACATTTTAATTCAGTCATCTAAGAAACATTCTTCATTAAGTCATCTAACAAGACAGCTGGCAAGCTTTCTGCTAAAACAAAGCTCATCTAGACTTCATGAATATGAACACAAGCATAACTAAGAAAACGATCTAACCTACAAATTGTAATCACACTGCAATCACTTGCAATGCTAAATTATAAATTTAAGATAAACAAAATAACAACAGTACTTAGCTTCTTACATATTCTTATCTTGTGACTGGTTGGGTGCCTAAGAAAAAGTTCTACATTATATTTTTCTGCAGTTAGCATCCTTAGAAAACTTTTACCATGCAGAGCCTCCGGTTCACGCACCGTAGGTTTTTGCAGTTCTTTTGAGACCTCCCTACCCTCAGCTGTCTGAAATCAGTCAATGATCAAAATTTACTGAGTAAGATGAACAGATACCCAGCATGACTGCTTAAACCATTTCTTTAGCAAATGTAGTAAAACTTGTATTTTTCTGCATTAAAAACGTAGAAAACGCAGTATTCTGCCACTTAGATATTGAGAGGAATAGGAAGAGACCACCAGTTCTGACAGCCTGATTCTGCAGAGGTCTTGTATTTGATGGATTATAAACAGTCAAGGAATTGCAAACTGCTGCAGTTATCTCCTGCAGAGATTATGTTCTTACTATTCCTTCTTATCCCCCTTGGGATAGGATAAGGAACCACAAATCAGGTGGAATGGTTCCTTCAGCTATCTCAGTTCACAGTCCCAAGTGTGAATTCAAACAGCCATTTCTCAATTACGTTAAGTATACGTGGAAGAAAGAACTGCAGCCGACCAGCCAATTAGCAGGACACTGCCAACAGGTTTTTGTTTAAAATATTACTGCATTTTAGTTATTTCTTTTTTCTGACAGCACAGCTGGAATGGTACGTCCTGCCTGTGCCTCAAGATTAATTTAGAAAATAAACACACAATATATTCTTAATAAAGGAGTATGAAACAGAGGGGAAGTTACTTCCCCCCTCAACCCAATGATGGATATTAGATGGATTGATTCACTGTGACGTGACACAAACCCTTGCTTGCTGTTAAAAGATAATAAACTGACCTCGCGCATGCACTTTGTCAAATAGGTGTAGTTGCAACTATAATCTTAGGAGACAGGTAGCTAGAATAGATTTTTAAAGTTACTATACATAGATTTTCATGACTGTATCTCTCCAAAGAAAAATTTTCTTTTCTTCTTCTGTTTATTACAGATAATAATTTTACTTCAACTCCAGACTTACACGTATTGAAGAAACTGCTTTGTCTGCGTTGCTCTATTGTCACAGTCCAGGGGGCAGAGATGGAACATCGTGCCTGGAAAGCCCATGCCAGGCTAGAATACGAACAACAATTTCCTTTCACTGGCACAGAAGCAAACCCTAAGAATAAAGACAGAAAGGTGTTTATGTAAGGGACATTTTCTTCTTTAAAACAGCATTCTGTGCAAATATACACACCAGAAGAAAAAAATCAGCAGTATCGACTCATACAGCTTAATTTCCAAAGGGAATCAAACTTGAACCTTCTGTCCTGAAGTGCAAAGCAAGTTGCAGGAGGTGATGGTGGTGAAATATTGCAATGGAAATTGTCACAAAGAGAAAAAAATCTAGAAGGCTTCTAACATATTGGTGATAGAGTGAGAATGCACCCTCAAAAATTAGAAATACTGTCCTAGCAGCAAATGTGCAATAACATCCTGTACAGAATTGAACATGATAAATAAATATACTACAAAATACTGTTATGTGCTATAAAAACCAAATCTGAAATCAGCCCAATAATCCTGCTCAATATCATTAATGGTGTGGGTGATGGGGCAGAGCATACCCTCAGCAAGTTTGCTGGTTATACAGAACAGCGAGGAGTGGCTGATGCACCAGACGGTCATGCTGCCATACAAATGGACCTTGAGAGGTTGGAGAAATGGGTTGAGAGCAACCTCAGTGTGCATATTCAAGAAACTAAAAAGGCCTATACTGTCTTGATATCAAGTTTTCATCATGCTATTCAGAAAATGACAATAGAAAAACCCTACTTCTTCCCAAAGTACATTTAAATTAAATCTTTTCAGATGTTTTTTAGAAGCAGAAAGTAAGCATGACTTTTATCATGTTCTGTTACCATCCAGTATCAATAAAACAACCACCATTTTTTGAAGTCAGGATAATAGCTCCTTCTAGGCAAATCAATTCCTGTAGCAGGAAGCTCTAAAAAAATTCGAAGTCATCTTAAAATGTGAATTTATCATAACTTACTCCTATAAAAAGTTAAAGTTGACAGTAAAACACCATCATGAACAATTTTTGAAAAACTATCAATTTTCACAAAATAAAAAGTGCCCTAGAAACAAAAAAGCAAAAACAGGAATAGAAGGCTCTTAAATATCTGGTTAAATTCACAGAGAATGCAGAACATATCACTGAGTCATAGTATGAGATGCATACAAACAATATGCTACAGTCACTACTCAAACACTTCCTTTCAGTTCAAACTGCTACTGAACTAGCTGTCACTCCTAGTACAAACTACATAGACAATGGTAACTCTATAAGCACACACAATTATTGAGCTGTTTTGTGGGGTTTTTTTTCAATACACATTTAATGACAAACTGTTCATCTACAAGATTACATTAACAGCTCATCTGAGAATAATCTTCCCCCAAATTACATGAGGTAGTAATTTACTTCTTGGACTGGTGTGCAATTAAACAGAACACCATGCATCTAAAACAAATTCAAATTCACACTGTTTGGCAGTATTTATAATTTTCTGTTGCACCCTTCAGTTGCCTACAGCTGGAAATTGCTTCAAAATAACTGGCAAAATCTAATCCTGTCTTCTTCACACACTTGCATATTTTGTCATACCTCAAACATGACTTTAAGTGGCACGCTTTTGCCCATTTCGCATACTTCCTGTTGGCCTATAAATGAACATATCTCCTGATAATTTCTTTGAACAAGCTTCTTTTAATACAAAGGCACAGTAATTCTTAGTTTTAATACCTTTTTGAGAAAAATGAAAAGAAACAATCTGGAGGTGTATGAAGAGATGCAGTGGTTCAGGCTAGTGGCCTAAGTAGCCCAACATTCTGTCTCCAGTAAGTACTATAAACAGCTGGCTTGGGAAGAGTAAAGAGTAAGCAAATATGTATAATACTGTCCTCCTTTATATTTTCTCAGTCTCTGACTACTTTCAGTACAGGTAATTTCCTCAGAACCATGTAGATATCTTGCATTCACAACACTCCTTGATAAGAAGTCACGCAAATCTACTGCTCACCTCATCATGAGCTAGGTTATTATTTTATGGCTGGCAAACAGAAGAAAAGGAAAAAGTCAAATGTCAGAAAAAGAAACAGCCAAATGATCACTGGTGTGATAGAAAAAGGCCAGAAGACTTTCAGTTGATCTCAAGAAGTCTGGTGATCCAAAGTTATTTTTAAAAAGTACTACAACATCCAACTATTACAACTCATAACAGAGCTTGCTAAAGACCATTGTGAGATCCTGGCTTCAACTGAAACCAGTGACAAATCTCCTGTCTTCTTTAAGGATTCAATCTTCTTTAAAGTGAGAACAATTTATACTTACAAGACTCACAGTGAGAGAATACCAGCTTTGGGCTGGCAATCAAAATTACATGTCTGGGAAAGCCTATGGGCTTTGTTGACCGTATTCTGAACACCAGGAGATGAGACACTTGGTCTCTGAATTGCAGCAGGACAAAAGAAGGGGGAGGACAGGGGAAAAAAAACAAAACCCCAAAACCTAACCTAACCAAATCTATATGATTCTCAAAGTCTGAAACACTGAGTACTGGTATTTAATAAAATATACTCGCACACTTCTGTACACACACTGCTACCAAGGGAAGAGACACTTTGAAAGGAGAGCAAAGAATAAATTCATGAAATGTAAACATCTGAAATGTCACATCTCAATAAAACAGTGTTTTGACATGTAAGTATGTACAGCTAATGCATCATATCCTCCATTCCCTATGCATCCTCCAAACATATGATGGGATTCTTACCTAAAACCTGAATAATACGTAAAAGCAAGACAGGTGGATCCTGGACTGATGTCTTGCCACCAGCAAAAGACATGTCTCTCTTAGACATGCTCTGCACCAACATAAAATTAAATTCTCAGTGACACATTCCTGCTATAAACCTTACACTTAAAACCACTATAAAACACAAACTGCTTTTTAAAAACCCTCCAGCTGCCTTGGAAAATTTTGGGTGTAAAGAACTTAATTTCTCAAGCTAAAACCCACGCATTTAAAATCACAGCATATGGAAAGGGTCATTATCTACCTGGGCTAAGCATGCAACACCAAAGTAATCAAACCAGAAAGAGTCAGAGGGTCACACATGAAGTCACAGATTATTTTAATAAATTATTCAGAAGCAGACGCAGCCTTTTACTTTTCCTGGTCTATTTGAAAGAAGTATTATTTCTTTCTTAGGATATACTCTGTAACTACACTTCATTAACAATTACCCTGAGAAAGGAAAGAGACCAGAAATTCATTAACTGCTTAGGTTTTGGGGTTTTTTTTTTTTTTTGTTTGTTTGTTTGGTTGGTTTGTTTTGTTTTGTTTTTTACAAGTGGAGGCAAGGAAGTTTTCAGGAGACTGCAGAAGCTAAAAAAAAAGCTAAGAACTTTATTTTGCCTTTGAAGGTGAGGGAGAAAAAATGGGACATACTCTGCTGAAAGCAAAAAACACGCTCAGCTCCCAGGTGTTCTAATATCAAGCTTGAATATACTTTTACCAATGTAATCTGGCCTTTCTTCCCACCTCAATTGCCAGCTTTCCTTGGAAAACACACAGGCATTCATGTAGTTCATTATCACTTTTGCAGAGAACATAAGTGCATACAAGCTACCTAGGCTGTATAAACAATTCTGAGATAGGTTCACCTACATTATCAGGGTGCATAGCTGATGAGGTAACAGATGACTGACAAGGCACAGCTAGCCTGCCCCGAACCCTGTAATGATGAACAAGATCTGCATGCCTAACATCCATTCATGATTTGAAGTACATGCTTACTGCATGTGAAGAAAAAAAAATATGGTAACTGCTAAGTACTGACAACAGCAAACTTGTCCACTGATGACAATGCAAGTGTAAAGCTACTTATTTCATGAGGCATTTATTATGCTTCTTGTCCTAGAGAAGAATAACATGCAAAATAAAGTCTTTTAAAAGTTTGTTTTGAATTTCCCATTAGCATTATTTAGATATAAAAGAGGATTCATGTGTAGCTCCTGCAGGACTAGGAGTGACTGGACAGCCAGGGAAATGTATGAAACTGGTGTGTTCTGATCCACACACGTAGGCCACTTCTCTATGTGTTGTTCTTATCCTTCGATATTTAATACTGTGCCACACTAACCACTGTAAAGTCTCACAGATGGAGCTGACTCCAACAAACAGCGAAGTACTTCTTCCATGATGGAATTAATAAAATAGAGGGGAAATAATCGCTAGGGCTTACAAAACACAAATAAGCATATGTACAGACACCTCAGTATGACAGTGATCTCTGAAGCACACACTCTGATCTCCTTCTATCCCTTAGCAGCGCTGCCGAGGTCATACCAGTGCAGGCAGGCAGCAGGCCACAGGGGGTTGCTCTTAATAGGTCATGCTCCAGATCACAGAATCACCTAGGTTGAAAAAGGCCTTTAGGATCATCAAACCCAACATCACCCCGGGACTGCCAGGACTACCACTAAACCTTATCACCGAGGGCCTCATCGACACGTTTTCTGCACACTTACTGGGACAGTGATTCCACCACTGCCCTGGGCAGCCTGTTCCAATGGCCGACTGTCCTTTCAGATAAGACATTGCTCCTAATATCTAATCTAAACCTCTCCTGGTACAGTTTGAGGTCGTTACCTCTTGTCCTATCGCTTGTTACCTGGGAGCAGAGACTGACCTCCACCTCACTACAACCTCCTTTCAGGTAGTTACAACTACCTGAGTTGTAAGTGTAAGAGTGATAAGGTCTCCCGAGCCTTCGGAGACGCAACAAACCCACTCTCCAGGCTTAGGCGCATACACACGTGTACACACATGTGGACACACACCCGACCTCACCCCAGGCTGCGGGGAACCGCACGGGGCCTGGGTCCCGCGGAGGCCGGCTGAACCGGGCCGTTCCCACTGGAGGCAAGCCTCCAAGCGATTACCGCCTCCCCGAGGAGGTGCCCCCGGTACCACGCGCTTCCCATCACCTCGCCACGCCGCTCGCAAGGCGCCAAAAGCGCACGCCCGCCCGACCGCCGCCGCCGCCGCCATAGTAGCCCCTTCCCCCACTCTCGGCCACCGTCCTTTGCTGCCCCAAGCGCTGCCTGACGAAAAAGCGACAGGCTAGGTGAGCGGAAACTAAGGCGGAGTGCAGCAAACCGACTTCTCACGCTCAGTTGCAGCCTTATGGAAACGCTTCCGCTGCCCGGCCGCTTCCCAAAGGACAGCTGCATGTCTAACGGTCAGCAGGCAAGCTGATGAACAGCTCCGCAGCAGAGGCCCGTCGCAGGACCCCGATGCTCGTCAGGGCGCTGCGCGGCGTTGGCGCGGTGTTGTTCTCTGTAGGCGTGGGGTTGTGATTGGTGCCCGTGGCCCAGGGCTGCGGGAAATGCCCTCAGCTGGTACCGCCACATTCGCTGCCCTTGCCACCGCCGGCAGCTGCGGGACCGGGCTATGGATGCAGCGGGGCGGGGAGAGTCACAGGTGCTGAGCTTTGCCCAAACCCGAAGTTCGCATGAACACCAGGGCGGCAGCTCTTGTCTGGAGCTCGTCCGGCTTCCTTAGGAGTCACGATGTGTGTCCCGCTGGTTCCATTCCGTTTTCACGCACCTGAGGTGCAGGGGGCTGTGCAGTGCTCGGTTAATCTGGTGTACCCTCGCAGATAGCTGTGTTGTGGCTCCGGGTGCCAGATTGGCGCCGAGGTGTGCCTCGTATTCCATGACAGGTGGGCTCCAGTAAAAGCTGTGGTAACGCAGACGAGCGCTGCCTGTGACAAAGCTTCCGTGTGCCTGACAATAATGCTGTCAAACCCTGCTTGCAGTCTCCCCGCAGCTCTCTTTCTCCCTTGACCTGCAGCAGCCTCAGATGTGCTTTAGGAACTGCTCAAGACCCTAATCTCAGCAAATCTAACAAGAAGACCTGGCAGTTCAAGTACCCTTCGGTGCGGTCCTCGTGGGGCAGAAATCATCTGTTCTGCAAGGTGCCTGCTGCTGTGGCTATGAGGAATTGCTACACCGAGAAGGAAGAGGCAGCAGAATGCTAGGGGGTGAATTGTTGCTTTTTCAGAACACTTGGAAAAATCTTGCTGCAAACGATTCAAAGCAGTTCCCCCCCCCCCCCCCGCCTGCTCCTTTTTCCTGTACATCAAGGCCAATGGAGTTTTGGGTCTGATTGCCCTCATCTGCAGTACAAGTATTTTGAAATACTGCATTAACATTCTTCCTCTTTATGTACTAGTTCTAGTAGTGAAGACTACAGTAGTAGTTTAATATGCATTAGTGAGCAGAAGCACACAACCTGCAATGTGTTCAGTATTTGTCATAGATTCAATGTATAACACAATGATTGCTGTGTATCTGATGAAACAAAAATTCACTGAGAAACTGTAGAGCAGAATTTCCTGTAGTGTGCTGACAGACCAGCTGCTGGCACAAAATTGATGCTAGACATAATCTTTTAAACAGGATTTTTATCTTATCTTCAGGCGCTTTTAATATGCCCATTCTCACAGCACTGCAATACCATGTATTTCAGGATGTAACCATAGCAGTGTCACTAAGGATAAAACCAATTAGTGTCTCATAAATTCCTGCAGATAAGTTCACTGCAGTATTTATTTCCAGTTTTTTCTTTTGGAAGTAATTGTGTCACATAGAGAATTAAGCTCTCTTTTTTATTTATGAACTGGGTGTTCTAATGGAAATGCCACTTTCTGCACATCATTTACTGGAGAGAATGAATTTGCCTTGTGCACATTTGTTACATAGAAAAAACAAAATGCAACCAGTGAAATAGCTGTTCAGCAATTGCACCTTGTCACACTGCTACAGCTGCTTAATGCCAGCAATGTAGGGGTGTCAATGTCTCATGTCAACTGGTTTATGCCAGTCTCTATGCTATACAGACTACAAAAGATGAAGAAAAAGTCATACTCAGCCCTAAAAGCCGGTTCCCAGAGTTTAATACTAGTCATTCAGCATCAAGGTCCAACTAGAAGTGGGCAGATATCTTCCTTCATGAGAGTTACTACAAGTCTTTTGCTCCTACTCCCTCTAAAACTGAACTTACATTTTAAGAAAAGTCTTTCAAAAATTTAAATCAACTTGGAGCAAAATCTTCAAAGTCTGAAAATTTAACAGAATTCTGAATTGACTCAGAATGGTTTGGGGATTTCACTTAGACTCTCTTTAAAAATCGGGTTCCAGTAGCTCTGAACTGTTACTTTACCTGGTTGAATCACAAGTTTTCTTCCTAGAACTGGAAATAGACTGCAAAAGTCTTTATGTTAGGGCTGAGGCTCCAGAAAAGCACTAGTGCTAGTGCTTGATTGCTGTGCAAGAAGCTGGTGTGAGTGATGCTGCAAGAAGCTGGTGTGGGTGATGCCACAAGAAGCTAGAGAGAAAACAGATGACAAAATAGCACCTGATTAGCACCAGCATGGTGCTGTTGTGGCAGGCAGGAAAGGATGTATGCATGGTAGAGAAAAGGACCCAGAGGGGTGATGTGTCCTGAAGGGGGAACAACTGATGTTAAAACACCATGGTGCAGTCACCATTCTCCCTGTGGTGAGAAGCTAAGGAGGGAAAATCCTCACTCAGCAGGCCAGTCTGGTGCTTTCAGTATCCCACTGCAGTCCCTTGAAACACATATCTAGTCTGTCCAGCACTGGAATACTTTCAGCAAAGTGATGTTATCAGGTACTTCTTTGCTGTTTCAGAGTAGAGGAAAATCCCATTGTATCTGATAACCTACCAGCACTGAAAATAATTACAATAAGGCTGCTATCTGGGGTGCTGTCATTTACATTTTGGAGCAAACCTTACATGCTTGGATTTTTCCACCAGTGATAACTGTTTTGCTTGGCAGTAAAATAGATTTGATACAGTATTAGTCATTGATGTGTGAACAGTGCTGCCACTGGGAGGGACAGCAATACTTGCTGATAATGGGCCATGCAAGGGCAGGCTGACTGCTCCAATGAAGGATGAATAGTGGACTTCAATGCCAGCAGAGAAAAAATTCAGAGATGTGATTTTGATTAGAGTTTTTGTATCTCTTAATAATAGCAAAGTCTCAATCTAGCTCATTTGTTTCAGCAAGACTGCTAATTTTTTTGTTAAAAACGGCTAAACACTGTGTTTTTTTTGACTGGCTCATTGCCTGTAAATCTCTATTGATTAAAGCTCCTCTGTGTATGCTTTCCCATTGTAAAAGCAATGTCAGTTGTATGCATTACACTATTTTGGCTCTTCCTTGGTAGGAACTTCAGATGTGCAAGAAGAAACATCTCTAATGAGGAGCTCTGAGACGTAGGATTTCATGCACTTTGGGTCAGCTTCAGCAGGGAAGAGGCTGGTGTCTTGAACAGTTTCTGATAAACAAGCTTCCAAAACAATAGAACTGGCTGTTTGGCATTGGGCATGGTGCTGTCCCTGAGAAAATCAGCCAGAATTTTCTCCCAGGGGTGAAGTTGAGGTGAGACACCACAGGCAATTGTGGGTGGCCTTATAATGTGGAAGCCTCAGTAGTATTTAGCTGTTTAGCAACTAATGCTAAGCAAGGCATTTTGAAGGAGTAGGAAGATCCTCCAGGTGTGGTAGAAACAGCTGCATGCCAGAGAACAGGAATGTGTGCCTACTAGGAACCCCTTCCCCAGGTAGAGGAGATGCAAATTTTTGCACCCTTACCTGCCTGGGCCACTGGATAACGAGGAACCAAGGAGATTTTAGCCCAGATGCTCACCTTGATCCCAGGCCTTGGTGACACATAGAAGAGGCCTCAGTCCCAGCTTCCTTGCTAGGGGCCAAATCAGCCCCACTATGCAAGCACAATATCCACTTGCCAGTGTTGCCTAAAGGGTTGTCAGGAGAAAGCGTAATAAATTCTCCACGGAAACCTGCACTTGATCAGTTTGCTTCTGTACATGCTGCAGACTGACAAGTACCATCAAGGCACCTGTTTCAGGAAGGTGTCCTTAAAGATTCCAGAGCAAGGCCATCAGCAGTATCCTTGAGGGTATGGGGGCTTACCTGCCACATTGCTGTTGCCTTTTAGTATCAGAGTGTTTTTAGGGTTCCTGCCAAACCTCTTGTTTCTCCTCAGCCAGTCGGGAGTAACTGTGGCATACCATCTCCCAAGTGGTCACTCCCTTGCTCTGTGCCAGCAAAATCAGCTCTTCCTTTCATAATTGCTCCCCTTCTGCCCCTGTCTGAATTTGCATGGTGTTTCATTTCCTCTGCTGTGCCCATCTGTGGAGATTCACATGCTGTAAAACTCCAGTATTGCTACAGAAGTATATCTCTGGGACAAAAGATCAGCTGCCAAGGAGAGTGGCCAAGAATACAGGTCTTGGCTAACCTAGAGGTGCTGCAGAGCTGCTGAAACCAGACAGGTTGCAGTAATTTGAGATCTTCAATGGGTGTTTAATACACCTGCTCACTGAATTGTAGACAGAAACATTCCTGCCCTGGTCAGTATTCTCTCTCTGTCTCTCCATTATACCCTTAGTTTTTTAGCCCATAGGTTTCACACTTGGCTGATCACTTGTTTTCTTCAACAGTTCTGGGGCTTGATTTTTCTTCTTATTTGTACATAAGCATCAGTTTTATGGAGGAGGCAATGTGAACCCCAGGTGTCCACATTACCAGGGATATGCGTGACAGAGCTATAGCAGCTGTAGCGATGCTGCATCTAACAACACTGTGTGATGTGGCATATGGTGAAACACATCCAACACTGTATGAAAACCTCTCTTCTTCCCAATGCAAAATTATACCAACATACGTACCTAGAGCATACATCTCTAGGCTTGCTCTGCCTTGGTTGCTCTTCCATTTTTGATACAAAGGTGGTCAGTATGGGCCTTGCAACTGCTGGTTGGGCTCAGAGTCAAGCAGGGAAGTGAGCAGGTGCACTGTCCATTCATAACAATGAACATGCAGTTGCACAGCAGTATTGCAAATGAAGTCAAAAGAAGGGTCATAAACAGACCTCCAGTTCTGAAGGTGCCTCAGTATTTCTGCCATTGTTGTTATGAGTCAGACAGCAATGACATTCCTTGATATTTAATTGTTTTGAGATGGCATCTGTGAGCCAAAAGCCATGGCCAGGCT